GGGAAAAGGGTATACATGTGGTTTTTGGACTATTCTTATTCTTGCAAATGTGCTGTGGTTGTTGTTGTCTTTGCTAGTTGCCTTTGAGTTGATTCTGACTCATGGTGACCCCATGTGTGCAGAGAAGAACTGCTCCATAGGGTTTTCAAAGGCTATGTGACCTCTCAGAAGCAGATCGCCAGACCTATCTTCCCAGGTGCCTCTGGGTGGGTTTGAACCTCCAACCTTTCATCTGGCAGTTGAGCGCTTAACCATTTGTGCAGCCTAGGGTTTTCTGCAAAATGTTGTATATGTTTGAAATTGTTTCCAAATCAAAAGTTTAAATAATTGTTTGGGGGGATGAGATTGACTGCAAAGGGGAACAGGGAACTTTTTGGGGCGATGGGATTCTTCTCTATCATGATTATGGTAGTGGTGACACAACTGTTCCCATTTGTCAAAACACATTGAATTGCACACTTACAACAGGTGACTTTTATTGTATGTAAATTATACCTTAAAGCTATTTGACAAGGTACAAAGGGTAAAAGTCCATTCTCTCAAAAGATTCTCTATTTGCTTAAAAGTGGAAAAAAAGGGGGAACATGCATTTGTCTCTTGAGAAGTCCCGGAGGCCTCCAGGGATGACCATAGAATGGACGGAAGCCGAACAGCTGGGGAAGCTGGTCTGTTGCAGCTTTCTGCGGGGCCCCCCTACAGCCAGGATGGACGTGAAGCCACAGATAAGCCACACCATCCCCTTTGCTAAAATATGTTGTCGTTGTTAGTTGCCTTCAAGTCGATTCCGGCTCATGGCGACCCCCGTGTGTGTCAGAATAGGGCTGCTCCACAGCGTTTTCAAGGCTGTGACCTTTTGGAAGCAGATCACCAGGCCTACCTTCCAGGGTGCCTCTGGGGGTTTGAACCACCAACCTTTTGGCTAGTAGTCAAGAGCCTAACCGTTTGCGTCACCCAGGGACCCTTTTCTAAAATATATTATGGCATAAATAAATAAATGAGCATTTCAATATTAGTATCTATTTTATAGTGAACACAGTATTCACGTAAGTGATTAAGATAAAACACTAAGACTCAACGAAATCTTGCACTCAAAAAAAGGTTTTTCATATTTACCCCAGACCGTGAAAGCACCTGTCTACTGTCCTCAGAAATTTCCCTGGGTAGGTAGGGAGAAGTCTGTGCATGTCCTATACAAGCTCCGGCTTGGAGATGGTCACCAGCGTCCTCCTCTTTCCATTTAAGGCCTTACTCCGATGATCCCTCCTTGATCAGGTCTTCCTAGAGCAACCCCCTTCACACTCTGCCTATATCACCTCTTAATCTCTATTAAGCTTTTATGACCCTCTTCCTCATAACAGTTACTTGTGAACAAGCCTCCACCAACGCAGCCCTTGGAAAGATCACTAGCACTAAGCACTGTGCCTGGCACTTTGGAAAAGTTTGTTGGAATGAACTAAGCTAAGAAGAAGGCAATATGAGTATGTTTGCCATTTCACTTATTTTCCTCTTCACAAAGCAGGAAAATTCTGTCACTTTCTCCTTAGAAACCCATACTATGCGCAGCATTTCCCCTAACAGACGTCCAGACCAGGAATGTGATTATTAGTTCTAAAATGCATCTTTTATTAATGCTATGGATTGACTTGTGTCTCCCAAAAATGTGTATCAACTTGGCTAGGCCTTGATTCCCAGTATAGTGTGATGTCCACCATTTTGTCATCTGATGTGATTTTCCTATGTGTTGTAAATCCTACCTCTGCGATGCTAAAGAGGCAGGATTAGAGGCAGTTATGTTAATGAGGCAGGACTCAATCTAAAAGATTAGATTGTGTCTTAAATCAATCTCTTTTGAGATATAAAAGAGAGAAGCGAGCAGAGAGACAAGGGGACCTCAAACCACCAAGAAACAAGAGCCAGGAGAATAGCGCATCCTTTGGACCCAGGCTCCTCCTCTGAGAAGCTCCTTGTCAAGGGAAGATTGATGACAAGGACCATCCCCCAGAGCTGACAGAGAAAGTCTTTCCCTGGAGCTGGCACCCTGAATTCGGACTTCTAGCCTCCTAGACTGTGAAAGAATCAACTTCTTTTTGTTAAAGCCATCCACTTGCGGTATTTCTGTTATAGCAGCACCAGATGACTAAGACAATAACCAACACAATGAAACTTTTTGGGACCCAGATTTTTCAACTCTTTAGTGTAAGTAAAAAGAAAGACTTTAAAACCCATTTTATGGCTCAGAAAATAAGGGAAACTCACAGAAAAATATTTCTGTTAAAGCACAACTGGGCAATTTATACAAACTGCCATACAGCCTGAGGATGCCCTGCGTAATGCAAACAGTTAACGATTTCAGCTGCTAACAGAAAGAGGTGCCTGCTAACGGAAGAAAGGCCTGGAGAACAACTTCTAAAAAAGCAGCCACTGAAAGCCCCATGGAGCACAGTTCTACGCTGACACACGTGGGGTCGCCATGAGTTGGAATCGACTGGATGGCAACTGGCTTGGTTTTTGGTTTAGGTCATGCAATCTACAACTGAATCTACAACTAAAATCAAAAGTGACACCTCCCTGGCAGCTGCAACTGGCAATGACAGCTGACATGTATTGAGCTCTGACTACCAGACGATGCCCGGAAAAGTTAGTCCACAGCTAGGAAACGGTAGAGCCAAGGGCTTTAACTCAGGCAGTCTGGCCTATGAATGTACAAGTTTACCCCGAAATCAGTATACATTAAATATCAATTCCTCAGCAAATATTCCTTCCAGAGAGTTCTAACGTGAGGTCTGCACCCAAAATAAAGCCATTAGGGTTGCTGGAGACACCCTGATTAAAACCAACACTTCACTAAGCTTCATTTAACACTAAAATCAATAAAAGATCACATTTTCCCATTTAATTGCTATTGTTCAGACACTTTCTTCCTACAGTAAGAATACTGGTCAGTGTTCTTATCAGAACCCCTTTTTCTCCTACCTTTATCCAAGGAACTGATAAGGACTTCGTTCTACTAAATTTAGCTGTCTCTTTTATCCCCCCACCCCACCCCATCTCCTTCCTATGAGAAGCATCTCGCTGACTTCTTGCAGGTACTGGCTCTAACCAGACAACAGCTTTTATCTTTTCCTATTGGACACTGACCCATGCTTTTATTAAACACAAACAGCTCCACTGAATAAACTTTGGAAACATCATCTAATGGTTCTGTTGCAAAAGCATGCTTTACTGTGATACAGTTGGTGGCTTTTCAGGTCATTCCATGCTCCATACCAAAAAAAAAAAAAAGAAAAACCCATTGGTGTCAAATTGATTCCAACTCATGACAACCCCATGTGTTACAGAGCAGCAATGCTCCACAGGGTTTTACTTGGCTGTTATCTTTACGTAAGCAGATCGCCACGCTTTTCTTTCACTGTGCCATCGAACCATTTGCACCACCCAGGGACCTACCCACAGGATCCCAAACTCCCCTTTGCAAAGTGGGATTTTCACCAGTCATCTAATCCACCCACTATAGAAATTCAGCTCAAACTACATGACTTCAGACGAAACAACATATACACTTCCCTGATGTCTGTTGCTTCTATCTGAGTCATTGCTTCTTCCTTTATCTTGAGAAGAAAAAATGGAATTGTGCACCAGTCCCTTAAAGATTAAAAGAAATCAGGGGTTTTAAAGTCTATCTCTGGGGTTTTGGATCCCTCCAAGCGGTTTCGAAACGGTTTCTAGCAGGAAAGTTGTCATAGAGATAATGAGCTAGTCAGAGATGAGCAGGAACAAAAGGAGGGTCGTGGGGTGGAAGGCGTGGAAACAAAGTTGAAATACTATGGGCTATGCAGAAAGATGCTGACAGCTGACATGCTGGTCTCCGGTTCTGAAGAAGGAAAAGGTAAACATCCCTCGAAAAGTCAGTGGATTGAAGAGAATTCTGGACAGTAGAGGAGGTAGGATCCTTGCCTTCGGCATAAATTGGGCAAACCTTAAACTGTTTTCTGTTTTTCAAAGTGAATGTCCTACCTGGATCTTTGCAGAGAGACCAGAAAAGCCTGCTTAAGAACTAGTAGCGGCAGCTGGGGCAGCTGAGTTTGACCCACAGGAAGGAATCAAGCCAGGCAAGGGAGGTTTGGGTCAGCTGCAAACAGAGGGACTTCACCAAAAGGAGCCTCCGAAGGTAGGTGAGGAGGTCACAGAGTCCGGAGAGTGGTTAACCTTCTGGGCTTCACCCCCACGTCAGACCTGGTACCTGCCTTTTTCTCAGTCAGGGCACGTCCGTCCATTTTCCATGCCTCCATTTTCAACTCTGTGAAATGGCGATACTACCTACGGCATCAAGGAGCTCTGGTGACTCAGTGGTTAAGCGCTGGGCTGCTAACAGAAAGACTGGCGGTTCAAACCCGCCCAGTGGCTCCGCGGGAGAAAGACGTGGCGATCTGTCCCTGTAGGGGCAGTTCCACTCTGTCACATGGGTTCACTATGAGCCGAAATCGACTCGAGGGCACGCAACAACAAAAATCTACGGCGTCACAGAGCGTGATGTCCCTAAGAAGTCAGCACACTTCAGCAGAGTGACAACCAGTCTACAGTACTTCATTTAGGACCAGTTAGGGGCCAGAGCTGGAGATGAGCCCAAGACGTCGATCAGGCGGCCTCCCACCACCACCTCAAAATACAAGCTGGGGTTCTGCAGAAGTTGTGTGTGCTGGGGGCGGGGGATGGCTTTAGAAAAAGAAGCAAACCGGAACAGATAAGAGAAAGCGGACAAGAAGTTAAGCGTTAAGTCCCAACCCCATTTTGGGGTAGGGAAGGAGGTGCCTTCGAAACTCGTCCGGCAGGAGGTGAAAGAAGTAGCGCTGGAGCCCCCAGCTTGCCGGCATCCGCGAGATCCTGGGGAGGAGGAGGCGGCGCAGCACCCGCTTGGCGCCAGGCACTGCGGGGGTCTCGGCAAGACAACGGCCAGGAGGGGACCGCCCGGGTACAGGGGTCGGGGACACGCAGCCACTCACCCAGCAGCAACAGCTTGAGTTCGCGGCGAGCGTCCTTCTTGTCACGGCGAAGCTGGCGCTCGATCTCTGCGCTGATGCGCTGCGATTCCTTCTCCTCCGCCGACAGGCAACAGCAACCGGCCATAGTGAGCGCAGCAGCGGACGGGGCGACGCGGCCAGTAGCGCCTGGATCCTCTGTCCCGCCCCTCACCCGGCCGATTCGCGACTGGACTCGGGTTTTCGAAAGAAAAGACGTGGGGCAAATTGAGTTTCAGAGTAAGAGGCCTGAACCCTTGGGGTTCAGTCCTTTCTCGAGGGTCGGCTGTGAGGCGGGGGCGAATCCCGAGCGTTGGGGACGCTTAAGTGCACTCCGGATGCGGGCTCACCCACTCGCCCTCCACTCGCTCGGGGGAGGAGGGCGAGCCGAGATGTTGGGAGCGTTGCCCGCCTCCGGAAGATTCGCGCGCCCCTTGGCACAGGAGCCGGACGCCCAGTCAGGGGGCGCAGACCGCGCGTAAAAAGCTGGGGCGTCAGTGCTGGCGGGAGGGTGGGATCTCCTGGTCTGGGGGTGTCCCAGGCAGGCGGCGGGCGCGGCGTTGGTTGCAGGCAAAGGACCTGACTGGGCCTTTCCTGGGAAGTTCCGAAAACCTCAGTAGTGACCGCAGACTAAGACAGAATGGAAATGTTCCTGCTGGCGCTGTGGGGCTCTAAGTGGCAGGAGGAGGCGGGGCGTCTAGAACCTGCAGCCCTGGCGTCTGCCCGAGTTGGCCCTCGGGCCACCCCGAGCCAATGGCGCCTGGGGACGAAAGTGGGCGAGCAAAGTGCTGGGGGGCGCAAAGCGAGGGGCCTCGGGTCTCCAAGCACCTCCTCCCCGGCTGCTGCGTCCCGGCGCAGAGACGGCCGCTGGCCGAAGTTGCTGTAACTAGCTCGCTCTGGCCGCCAGGACCTTCTTTCTGCCCAAATCCGGCTTCCGACAGGTGACCGAGTTTCGCCAACTCTCCATTGTCAGTGGAGGCGGCTGCGGCCGACGGAAGAAGAGTGGAGAGGGGCCAAAAGTCCGCCGCAGGACACAGTGCGCCAGGGGCAAGGTAGAGGTCTCTACCTAGACTTGAAGTTGAGGTTAAACCTCACCACCACACAACCCAGTTTCCTAGACGGGCTCCTTCCGCCTCCTGGACACCTGAGCCCCGCTCTGCCGTTGACAAAGTCCTGGATTCAGCTCGGCTGTCCGCCTGGAAGGTGCAGAGGGACCTGCGCCCGGTGGCTCTGCATTCACAGAACAACCGCCACCGGGTTCAGTTAAATAAGAGACGTGCAAGACTTGAGAGTAAATATCCTTCCGGCCCTTTCCGACCCCACCTGACGCTAGGGGCTTGGGGTGAGGAGCATGGAAAACGGCTGGCTACTTTGCATTCGATGATGGATAAGACTCCTGCTTTACAGAAAGGGCTGTCCTGGCATGTTCCCTGCCCCAGCCCTGACAGCTACTTTGCAAAGATGTGTCCGCACAGGCTCTTTGCCTGGCTCTTGGAAGATCGGGATTATGCTTGAGCTGCTTAATAAAAAATAAAAACTTAAAAAGCCCTTCTTTGGACTCAAATGACACGATAGAGTGCATATTACAACATCTGATTTTTGTCTTCTATGTAGATTGTGAGGCAGAGCTCAAGGGAGCCACACGAGAAGAGAAGGGGAGGTGGAGGGAGGGGATTCTGTCGTCCACCGCGATGAAGGTTCTTTTCCCTCTCTACTGGTCAGCGTATGCGTGTAAACATTTTATGGCTTTAGGCCATTAGCTAACGCTTCCTCCATTAAGAGCATAAATGCTCCCCTTTCACAAGCGTAGCTTATCTGTTCATCAATTTCTAACTGAGGAGCATATTGAGTGGAGAGAGTTGCATGTATCATTTATAGAGAACTTGGCACTGTGATGCTACTTGGCTGCAAGGTCTTATTAATATTATTTCTTTTACAGTTTAAGGAATGTAGACGAATAAGGCATTAAAAATGAATATGTATACATTCTTACATGTGTGGACTCTGTCTTATATTTCGGTGCAGGCATAAATTGATATTAACAGTGACTCCTACAGGAAAACGTCTGAACGTTTCTAACTTGATCCTTGAAGTTATAGTCACATTTCTGCTTGAGCTCTTATAAACTAAAAAAAAAAAAAAGTCGTTGCCCTCAAGTCGATTCTGACTCATAGCGACCCTATAGGACAGAGTAGAACTGCCCCATAGAGTTTCCAAGGAGGTGCTGGTGGGTTCAAGCTGCCATCCTTTTGGTTAGCAGCCAAGCACCTAATCACTGAGCCACCAGGGCTCCTGAGCTCTTACAGATTCATTTAAATTTTGAGAATAAGAACTTTTAGCTTCTCAAGTTAATAGTTGCGTCATAGTTGTTAGTATTTTTTAAATGACTAAAGTTAGTGCAAAACTGAACTGGACTCCAAGTTAACTGGAATAACTGACTTGCTAGTGGAAAGTTGCTAAGATTTCAAAAAGATATGAAACATGTATTACTTGTGGGAAGGATAATCTGTGCAATTTTTCTGGGCTGGTCAACTTGACAATATGTATCACAAGTCTTAAACATGCCCATTGCCTTTGATCAAACCAGCAATTCTCCCCTTAGAAATAATCGGAGAGAAGCCATGTGATTTATGTGCAAAGGTTTTATTTTTCATAACAACAAACAAAAACTCAAAACAACCTAAATGTCCAGCAACAGGGAATAGGTTAAATAAATTATGGTACATTCATATAATGAAATATTGTGTAGCTATTAAATATGTAAATATGTGAGTAACAGATGTGGGCATAATGATTAAAGAAACGGGGAGAAATCTTCAAAAGATATTGAGTGAAAAAGGCAAGATACAAACGTATAAACAATATGATCCAAATTTTTTTTATGAGAACACACATAGGCATTTTTAAAAGACTGAAAAATATAAGTCTAAGTCATAACTTTTTGGTTGATTTTCATTCTCTGACACAAAATTATTTGGAGCAACTTGTATAAAGTTAGCTAGATACCACTACCCTCGACTGTAAAATGAGAGGAGTGAACCAGAATGAGTTCAAAAGGATCCCCCAACTCTAATATTCAACTATTTCCTTGAAGATTTTCATACTTATAAGAAGGTATTAAAAATAATCATAGACCTACTGTTGTTATTGAGCATTGGCAGCTAGTGAGAACTGTAAAATGGAGATATGACAACTCAAAGTCAGTTATTTTTATACTTCTATTTTTTATCCATGTGTCTGTTTTCTTTATGTTTAGGATCTGGAGGTGGGGTGAGAAAAAAAAATTTGTTATTTATTCATTTGAAACATCTTTCCAGGAAGGGGTAGTTTTGAGAAAAGTTCTTTGTAAAAGAGAAAATATGTTTCCCCAGGTTATTCCAAAAATGCAGCAATTCCATTTCATTACTCTTTTGCAGATTAGAGCACAGTTCAGTATACCTGCCAAGTGCTGGGCCATAAGGGTGAGGTGAGCTAGTAGTCTGGAATGCGTCTGAACGTTCATTGAGTTCCTAGTCCGTGCCAGCCCCTGTACCAGACACTGGGGAGTCAGATAAAACGATAATTCCAGAGTTTAGGTAGGCTACAGTCTACTAAAAAGAAGTAAGACTGAGACCCTGAAATCTGACCCCATGCCTTCCTGCTTCTTGCCAGACTGCAGGCAGTGAGTAGGCAGCTTTCCATAGCCTACAGAGATACATTCTAGCCCTTCCTTCATTCAGCCTCTCCCTTCAGCTCAGCCTCATCTCCAGTCACCCTCCCCAAACTCCAGACAAATGTAACTAGGCTTCCTCCTCTGCCTTCATGCCTTGGCACATCTCTTCCAGAAATGTTAACTCTCACCTTCAGGTAAGTTGGGTACTTTCTTTTCCAAACACTTCTTTTCTGAGAAACCATCTCCACCTCCCATCTCTCCCTATTGACTGAGCACTTTCTCTGTTCCTCTCTTCGACATCACGCTCATTACACCTGTTTGTTTCTTCTCCTAGTCCGTGAGTTCCTCACCAGGAGATTTTTACTTGTTCGTCTTGGCATTCCTTAATTAGTAAGTTTTTGTTGGCTGAATAAAACTGAAACCAAGAAGAATTAGTCTGACATAAGAGAAACAAACTGAAGCGAAAAGCGAAAGTTCTTGTGGTAGAAGATAGAAACCAATAAGAAGCTCACAACAAATGAATGTGAGCAAACGTATGATTTAGGAGAGACTTGTGTATGGAAGCTGACTCCCACTTGCCCCTCATAGGGAATGACTGCTCTGTTTCTAAGTCAGAACTCCAAGGAAATGTGGGAGCAGAGGACTGGAATGATACCAGAACTTGAACATGTAACATAGATTCAAAGTATGACCTTGAGGAAGTTCACAAAGCTAAAATAGCACTAATATTAATGCATTTATGCTCCTTTATGGCAGGGTTTTTCAAACTGCAGTTGTGACCATAAGTGGGTCACAGATAAATTTCTGGGTTGTGACCGGCATTTTTTTAAATGAAACAGAATAGAATGTAAACAAACAAATCAAAGTATGCTGCTTGTTTTATTTCATATTTTTGCTTCAAATATCAACTCTTAAGTAGATCAGTACTAAATGAGGGTTTGCTTTCCCATAAGCTAGATGGGTTGGTCTAAGTGATTTCCAATATTCTTATTCATTTTTCTGAGTCCAACCTGTTCCCATTTTCTGCGCCCAATACAGGTAGTCCTCGACTTTCGACGTTCGAGTTATGTTCCGTCTTTGCGTCAGTAATATGTACTACATACAGTGTTGCAGCATGTCATTTGCTGATGTTATTATTCTCATGCCAGTAACCAAAGACAAATACATAAAGATCAGATTTATAAAGATACTGATAATAAAAGGCAGTAACAGTAAAAAATTTAAAAAAAAAAAAGAGGTATTTCAGAGCTGACTTATGACAGAGTCCTCCAAATGGAACCCCATTGTATTAGGGAACTACCTGTATATTCTCTAAAAACTTTTGAGATCCTTACTCCCCTCCCCACCCAATCATCAGTTGTGGAAGAGCAGAGTTGGTAAGAGTCAACGGAGCAGTGATGATTTGGTGAATGAATTTAGTGATACTTAGATGAATGGGTAATAAGGGTAGCTGGTGGCTGGTTGTACTCAACATACATTTTTCTAAGGCAATCGACATATCAGAGTTTAACATGTTGCTCCAAAATATTCTCTGCCTGAGACCAGAAACTGTTTATTATAAAACTTCTACTGAGAAGGCTAGAATTAGAGACAATGAAGCCTGCCTTCAAACAGATGTGACTGTGAGTGGGCAGGAATCACTGTTGTTTGTTGTTGAATCTGACTTTTCAGGGGTGGTAGGTGTCTCAAGAATTTAAGAAATAAAAATCTTTAAGATGAGAAATTTGGAGTGTTCTTTTTTTTGTTTTTGTTTTTGTTTTGCTTGTTTTCTTTCCCTTTTTGCTTAAATTTCCCCCCAATGACATCACACTCCTCCTGAATGAACCAATGTTAACAGCCATTTGCCATCAAGCTGACTCCAATTCATGGTAACCTCACGTGTGTCAGAGTAGAACTGTGCTCCACTGGGTTTTCGATGGCTGATTATTTTCATAAGTAGATAGCCAGGGCTTTCTTTTGAGGTTTCTCTGGCTGGATTCGAACGT